CGCTGGTCACGAAACAACATCCAACACTCTTGCTTACGCGACAATCCTCCTTGCAGCGAATCCCGAATGGCAGAAATGGGCAGCGGAAGAGGTCGATCAAGTCACAGCTGGGGCCGACTTGAAGGACCTTGACTACGAAGCATATTATCCTCAATTGAAGCGCGTTCTCGCAATTATGGTATGTCAGCCATCAGGCCGATTGATCACCACTAACAACACCAGCACGAAACACTACGATTATTCGGCGCAGCAAGGGCTGTTCCCAAGACAACACTCGTGGACCAGACTCTCAAAGTCAACGGCACATCATACACAATCCCCAAAAACACCTTCGTCGGCGTCAACCTGGCAGGCCTACACACATCCTCCGCATCATGGGGCGACAACGCGCTCCAATGGCTCCCCAGCCGCTGGATCACGGCCGACGACAAGCTCACTCCCATGCCAACAGGCGCTTTCCTCCCCTGGGCGGCTGGCCCGCGAGTCTGCCCCGGCAAGAAATTCTCGCAGGTAGAGTTCGTAGCCGTCATGGCGTGTCTCCTCAAGGACTACACCGTGGAGCCTGATGCAGAAGGTGACCACCTCAAGGAGGCGGCGTCAAGGGCCCTCATGGAAGAGGCGAAGCAGTCTAGTTTCAATTTCCTGCTCAAGGTGAAGCACCCTGAGAAGATCAAGCTGCGGTGTGTGCGCAGAGTCTAGTTTAGCGTAGAGGGTAAATGACAAGGACGTGTTTTAGCGGATGTTAGGTCGTATGTAGGGCTACAGGGCTTGAGTGGAGGCACATCAATGCTACGCGTTCCAGAATGAATCCTTTCATTTGGGTAGAGTGCACTGACTAGACTGGCTTTTTGTCTCCGCAAAGTCCCGGGCCTAAAACGGGATCCGTAAGCCACGATGATCCTTGGTGTTTGGCCCGCTATCTCACTGCTACGTGTCAGGCAAAGCATGATTTTATCACAAACAGATTCAGAATCTTAATAGCTTGGCCCACTACGTGAGAAATTCCTCTTTAGTTTCTACGTTTGCAGCATAGCCCAGTCGTAAGTGGAGGAATTAGGTGAGATTCTAAATCGCCTCCATTCCTTGTAGGAAGTCTGCAGTGAGCATTTCTGCGGCCAAAATGCCGCTGCATCCGTTTCTATCAGTACAATTTACAAGCCCTTAGGTAATCTTGAGTTTACACACCCTGCAGGGGATGTTCACCAGTGAAGACATCCTTGGTGGCACGAGATAAACAAAGTTCGCGTAGATCTCTATCTAACCGACTTGCCACCACCTCCAGCCCATCCATTCAAAGCGCAGACCACTATCACAAGCATCCTAAAGGCTGAGTAAAGCAAAAAGGTCACCAGAAAGACTTACTAGTTGTTTCACCGATGATACCCTGGCCTCACGTAATGGTAGGCGTGTGGATAACGTCCACCGAGCTGACAGTCATGAATCCGTAAATTCCCATATCCCAGCAATTATGAACCTGTTGGTCGGTAGCCTAGACAGTAGCTCTATTTATGGAGTTCAAGAGCATTCCTTGCATGATAATATCCGGGCCGGTGTTTGACAGCGGATATCCACAAGTGACAATTTTCTTTTATCACGTTGCGAGAATGCCTTCTCTGAGAATGCCATCGAGAGTTTTGAAGGACATGTTCGATTTCGATATGATGAACGCTCCTTTGTTTAACGTCTCGGCAAGTAGTATTGCCCTGGTGGCGGTATTACTATTGCTTTCGACGCATTGCATCACTACGATTCGGTATTCGATACAGCGGTTTTGTGATCGTCGATACAAGGGAAATGAGCCATCGACACTTCCATATGTTCTGCCAGGGGTTGGTTCAGCATTGAGTCTGATCAGAAATCCCCATGGATTCTTCAATTCCATTGTGTATGTTTGTTCACCCCTATTACACTACTTCGCTAACACTTCTCAGCCAGAAAGTCGACAATGGCGAACCCATTCGCATGCGTCTAGGCAACATCCACGCCTATCTGATCCACGGCACAAGAAACGTCCAACAAGTCTTTCGGTGTTCAAAAGAACTCACATTCGAAGAGTTTGCTCTCAGAGTTGCTCAAAAGGTCAAACGTCTTCCTGCCAAAGACGCTGCGTTAGTAGCAAAGGATATCTCAGGATCATCACGATTGCCGTTAACCGAGACCCGTGAGGAAGATCGTATATGGAGAAAGTTCCATGAGATCTACGAGTCCCACCTCATTGGCGCCAATGCGGTGTCTGCCCTTACAGAGTTGTTCATTGATACCATGATTGATGAGCTCGGCACTATTGGCACTCAGGAACCTATTGAGATCGGCATTGATGAGTTTATGAAGTATCATATGTTTCGAGCTTCTACCATTGCTCTCGCCGGTCGAAAGGTCTTTGACATTGATCCCAATTTCGCAGATGTGTTTTGGGATTACGATGAAGATTTCATGTCTTTGCTCTACGGCATTCCCAAGTTTCTCTGTCGCAAAGGCTCCAATGCTAGGGACAAGTGCTTAGAGACTGTGAAAGGCTATCTTGACCAAGGTTGGCAAAACCTAGATTGGAGAGCTTGTCACGAGAAAAACCCTGATTGGGAACCAAATTTTGGATCCAAGCTTGTTCGTGAAAGAGAGGTTGCCATGGAGAAATATGGCATTGGTCTTGACGGAAGAGCTTCTTTTCAAATGGGTCTCATCTGGAGTATTAACTCTAATGCTATCCCGATGACATCTTGGATCATTATTGAGATTCTTCGTCGACCAGAGATTTTCAAACAGATACGAGAGGAAGTTGCTACAGTCTTCGACAAGGACACCAAGCAAGTCGACATCGTGGCACTCAAGAAATTGCCACTACTCAACTCAGTATACTTTGAGTGTCTTCGTCTACGATCATCAGTGTTTGTGGTCCGTAAACTACGAAACTCGATCGAACTAGACGGCTACACACTGAAAGAGGGCAATCTCGTTCTCGCACCATCATACCTTGCACACAACGCCCCAGAAGTATGGTCATCAACAACACATCCCCCAGAAGAATTCTGGCCTGAGCGCTTCATCAAGAAAGGCAACTCTGGGATCTCAGCGGGCAATTATTTCCCCTACGGAGGCGGCGCAGCAATGTGTCCAGGGCGGAACTACGCTAAGCAGGAGATTCTGTCAGCGGTTGTTTTGTTCTTTGCACACTTTGAGATTGAGCCGTTGCGGTTTGTGGATCGTGATGGGAAGACGTCGGATAGAGGGCCTGAAGTTGGACATGAAGCAAGGGGTGTTGCTAGGGTTGATAGAGATTTACTTGTCAGATTACGGCGCGTTTAGGATACCATGAGTCAATTACAAGGATTGCTTTTCGAAGACGACGAAATAACGCAAACTCTGTTTTGCAAAGTTTAATGACCAACAATAAGGTTGTGAAGTCTGATCTATCGTATGAACTGCTTGATGACAGAGAAGGAAACCAATTGGTCTTCAGGCTTTACGACTCTTGCAGCGGGATATGCCCATGATGGGGTCATCAAGTACATGTAACAGATAACCCAAATGTACCCAAACCGCCTTGACCATGTTCCCTGCATACCTCGAAAAACATGCTGAACTCCGTCCTCACACATAATCACCAGCGCTGTTGTGAGGAAATAGTTGACAACGTTAGTCTCCTTTGCAGATATCCCTAGCGCTCTATCGGCGGGGAAATGCAGAGCCCCAGAAATAAAGAAGCATACGATAAGCTTGCAGTAACGAGAAACAAGACCCTTTGGCATGTGAAGAATCCCATGGACAAGGAAGTCTGAAAGGGAGGTGAGGTGACGTCGTAGCGTCTGATGCCAGAAATTACCCCAGAAGCGCCTAACGCTGTAAGCTTCGGAGAGACGCCCCCAGATTGGAGGTAGCATTTCGACCGGGTACAGATTTAGGCTGAGGTACAGGAGCGAAAAAGTACTGTTGATAAGATGAATGACGCAGAAGGTGTTGAGCCAGAAGCCAAAGGTGGCAAAGAAGCGAAATATTGCCTCTTCGGAAGTAATTTGGCCGATGCGTGTCAGCAAGTGTTCCTTCTGGGGAGATATCATGTTGGGATCCGGGGATGGTTGGGCGGCAAAGACATCGAGGATGAGATAGCTGACGATAGCATTCCTTGCATGCCTTGCAAGTTCCTGGCTACGGGACGGTACGAGAGAGGGTGTATGGCTAGACCAGGGAGGGATTTGGGATATCTGTTCCCTCGTACCGACACCACGCATGTTCCAAAGATTGCTGACCCCAAAGGACGCACGCTTCGTCAAGGATGGCGATGGACCCTCGAAAGACAACCTGCTCAGGCAGAGATCGTCAAACGTCTTCAAGCATTGAATCCACATTCCTGTAGACAGCAACGCCACGTGTAGACGACTGGGCAATGCATCGAGGATGGCCTGATTGAAGAACCAGGTAATCACAGCGACAACCGCTGCAATAGCAGGTCGAACAAGGTTTGCGGGGGCCGTGAAACCGAGAGCCCAGGCTGTAAGGCCCTGGGACGCCAATGCAAGGTAGAGTGCAACGAGAGCGGTCATGTTGATGAGTGAGGCAAGAAGGTTACAGCTTCAATCAGCATGAACGTGGAGATATTTACAACGGCGTCAAAGCTCTAACACGGCCCGTAGAGTAACATTGCCATTCCGTGCCGCGCGCGTGCAAAACTCAATCAACCCTGTGAAGAAGTCTCGGCCAGCGATGGTCCGAAAACAAATGCCCATTCAGGCTTCACCGCACGATATCCCGCACGGAAAAATAGTGTTTCATCTTAAATGGAGTTCTGCTTAAATCTCACCTTCACTTACAACTCCAGTACCCCGAAGGATCGCCCACATGCCGGTTTGCAATCCCTGCAATCGCGATTAGCGGCTCCGTCTGACGTGAGATTAAACAGCAGGGGTGCATATACGCGACCAATCGAATCTCTACTCAGACGACGGCCGGCAATGAGAAGCATGTACGTGGCGCAATTTCTTTTTCTTCTATTCAACCAACTCGACTCAAGTTTCAGACGCAAACTTTGACCACGCCAAGGATCCTGCGTAATACAGACCAACAAACAAACACAGCCAGACCAACGATCCAAGACCCATAGCGACTCGCTTCACGTTTCTAAGAAAAGCAGCTTCGTTGACACGTGGAAACGGCTGACCCTCCGGAACAGGCCTGTCCAGAAATCGCGCCAGGGGTTCCCATCCCATACTCGGTTGGTACTCGAGCAATTGCCCAGCGGGCACGATATCGTGAACCCATTGATTGTGCTTATGGTATAGTTCCTCCGAGGGGACTTGCTCCAGGTTGAATTTCTCAGCGTAGTATTTTGACCAGGCTACGATAAGGTCGCTGGAGTGAATCACGCCGGGGATCCAGTAGCCTAGGATGCGGTACCACTTTGAGCGGAGATCAATACCCAGGCCGTAGTAAGATGCGAGCCAGACCTGCGGGTTTTTGCGGACAGAGAGGATGACCTAAAAATTGTAAGTAAGCTTCAATTGAGAGAAGATGATTCGTACCTTTGCGTTGGGGTATATTGTCAGCATGTCATCGACAAGCGCACTAGCAGGCGGTTCAAAGACAGCTTCAAAGCCATCATACAGCTTCTTTAACGCCTTGAGCCTCTCATTGCGGTCTTGAATCGCAAGTACTCTTGCACTTTCTTTGACGCGGGAGATTGGCGCAGGAGGATCTCCAAGGTGAAAACAAGGAGTCACACCAAGAATCTCAAGACCTTTCTTGAGACTTGTCGTAGACGTGCGCGGAAGACCGGCCTGAGACGTTAGTAACTGACAAACACGGCAAAGAATAACGTACGACTATGATCTTTACGTCTGAATTTGCTGACATTGTGATGGTGGGCCGAATGTTCCTTGCAGAGCATGAGATTGGAACATGTATCTATAGATGTTTTTCGCTGGCCGTGAATGTCACAGCGTCTGATGGAAGCTTACTATGGAGCAGAGCTAGAGGCATAATTACTGTAGACGCTCCGTTGTGGAGCAGTGGGAGCGGCTGTGGCGTGGCCGATTGTTTTGAGGGTGAAGCTAACGCTGGCTAAATTTAAACTAAACTAGCCATGTTTCGGCTAGGGCTGATGGTGAAGTACGTACTCATCTTAGGGTAGGAAGCTTTCTTTCCGGCTTTGACATTGTCGTGAAGGTATTCTCAGCATCGATCGTGATGGCGGTTTATCTGTTTGCGGCCGTATTTCTGGCGGTTGTCTATCTGGTTCAGCACAGAAGTTCTCCGAAGCTACCCTCGAGTCTTCCAAGACTTGAACGCGATTCGTATCTGCCTTTCAAATTACAGTGGGCTTATCTCACGGATTGTCGACAGCTTTTTCTCGAAGCATATGATACAGTATGCCACTTTCAGAAACGATGAACCAAACTAATAGTTGCAGTTCACCAAACATGGCAAAACCTGCGTATTGCCTAGCATGGGCTTCAAAGATGAGATCCATCTAGCACATCATCATACCCAATGGGCCGCTTCACAGGCAGACGCTGTGCTCAGCCCAATTGAAGGCTTTCGAGAAATTGACAAGGGAGACTGGAACTCTGGTCATGCCAGTTATATCCAAGATCCATGGCAGAGTATCGTCATCAAGAAGGAGATGGGCCGTTTTCTTGAGATACTGGCTGCTGCGGTTGATGATGAGCTCCAGTATGCTATTCCTGAGTATATTAAGCCTGGGGCGCGTGATGAGGTTGATGTTTATGAGGCTATGAAGTGGATTGTTGCTCAAGTTTCGAGTCGTTTTACTGTCGGCCTTCCTCTTTGTGAGTCCTACAAGATTTTTTTCGACGTCAGCTAATTTTCAAGGCCGCGATAAGGAGTATCTGAAAGATTCCCTTGCGTTTGCAGACTTGTTCATCTTGAACTCTGGATTGTTGATTTACACTCCATCGCTTCTCAAGCCGCTAATTGGATTTGTCGTCACATTGCCAACACGGTACAGACGATGGAAGATTCAAAGGCATATACGACCTCTCTACGAGGAGAGAACCCATAAGCTACTGAATCCTGGACTTGATGAGAAGAGCGAAGAACCGACAGACAATCTGCAGATGATGATGCGATATGCCATCAGCAAGCATGGTAGCCAAATAGCTCCGTCTCAGATCTCTGATCGACTTTGTCTTGCAAACCTTGCCTCTTTCCATCAGACTGCGGTTGCTAGCAGTAATGTTTTGATCAACATCGCAGCTTCTGACGCCGAGTTCAACACGATTGCAGCCATTCGAAAAGAGATGGCTGATGTGCTTGCAGAGAGTGGCGGCGTATTTGACAAATCATCGGTTTCTAAAATGATCCAAACAGATAGTATCCTCAGAGAATCGATGCGAACACATGGCTTTGGAAACAGAGCTATGATTCGAAAGGTTGTTGCGCCGGGTGGTCTCAAGACTCCAGATGGTCATACTCTGCCTAACGGCTCGACCATGTCGATCCTCTCGTATCCCGTTCATCAGGATCCTGATATTTACGAGCAACCTGAGAAGTTCTATCCTTTCAGATTCTCCAATATGAGGGCTGGGCCCGATGGCAAAGACGCTAACCCAACGCTATCATTTGTATCGACTTCTTCAACCTATCTTCCTTTTGGACATGGGAAACATGCTTGTCCAGGACGGTTTCTGGTTGATTTCGAGATGAAGATGATTTTATATCATGTTTTGAACCGGTTTGATATTGAGCTGCTTCCTGAGCATAATGGGGTTCGGCCGGAGAGTCAGTGGGTCACAGAAGCTGTCATGCCGCCTGTTGGTGTCAAGCTACGATTTAGGAAGAGAGAATTCTCTTAGTGTACCATAGTCCATAGAACATGATTTAGAATATCAATATGTCAATTTGGCCTCCAACATGCACGAATCTTATGCCGCCCAATTTAGTGCAGCGTCCACTGAAGATACCCTCTTAAGCGCTTGTAAGCCAATCAAATAGTGACAGTGCACGAAACAAGACCCCTGCACAAAGCTCAAGTGGGTAAGCCTGCACATAAAATACCCAGCTCCGTGAGATTTCCTCCTCATCCACATCATTCTTACCATGGCACGAATTGCTGTTTTTCTGTCGTATTACCGGCCATGGGCCATTTGTGCGCTTTCTTTTGCGATCTACACTCAGATAATTTACGATAAGAATTATTCTATTCGGCATGCTCCGTTTTATATGGGGAAGTATTTGCTGGCGTTCTTGAGCGGTTGGGCGTTCTATTTGGTATTTCTGTATCATCGGCTCTTTAGTCCTTTGAGGCACTTGCCTCAGCCAAAGGTATGTATTAGAAGACAGAGATTAGTATACTACTGACTGTGGCAGGGCGCGAATTTTATCAATGGTCACTGGGCAGAGTCTGTCAGTCAGCCTGCTGGATTGCCGTTCAGACATTGGTCAAGAACAATCGAAAACAATGGATTGATCAGATACAAGTGAGTGAAGTCATTTATAGAAGAGCTATACTGAACTATCAGGCATTTATTCAACCAGGAAAGGCTCGTCGTCACAAGCCCGGAAGGTCTCAAAGAGGTGCTCGGTCAGAACAGCTATGACTACGTCAAGCCTCATCTCCTCCGTGCAATGGTCGGCAAGATCTTGGGTTATGGGCTGCTCCTATCAGAGGGAGATGTACACAAGGTAGTTTTATCCATCCTGCATGAGACCAAAGCTGACACTCTCAGATGCAAAGGAAGAACTTGATGCCGGCATTCAGCTTTCGTCACATCAAGGAACTCTATCCCGTCTTCTGGAGCAAAGCACAGGAGCTAGTCCACGGGATAGAAAAAGAACTCAAAGAAGAGTCAACTTCAGAGATCGACATTGTAGACTGGGCGAGTCGAGCCTCTATGGACATCATCGGTTCTGCAGGAATGGGCCACGAGTTCAAGTCTCTTGCAGATCCCAGCATTGAAGACACCATGAAGATGTATGGATCAATGGTCAAGCAGAGTCGTGGCGCCAAGCTCTTGACGGTTCTTCAGCTTGTTCTTCCCTCGATTATCACGGATTACCTCCCATTTCAGAGAAACATGGGCGTCTTGGCAGCTTCAAAGGCGGCGAGAGAGACATCCCAGCGACTTATCGGCGCGAAGAAAGTCCAGATGGCAGCCAAGGAGAAGTTATCGCCTGATATCATCTCTACAGCGCTTGAGTCTGGTCATTTCACAGATGAGGGACTCGTTGATACTATGATGACCTTTTTGGCTGCCGGGCACGAGACCAGTGCTGCAGCCTTGACCTGGACAATCTTCCTTCTGGCAAAGAATCATGAAATCCAGGACCGTCTTCGAGAGGAGATTCGACAGAATGTTGATGGCCTCAATGACGATGTTGACGCCAAGAAACTCGACAGCCTCTCTTATCTCCATGCAGTCTGCCAAGAATCACTCAGGCTCTACGCACCAATCCCCTTCACCGTACGCGATGCCCTCAAGGACACTCAAATTCTCGGAACATTCGTCCCCAAAGGAACGATGGTCATTTTATGTCCATGGGCCATCAACAGAGCCCACGAACTCTGGGGCCCTGATGCAGACGACTTTAACCCTGAGCGATGGATGGCACCTGGCCAAGCCAACTCCGGCGGTTCAAAGAGCAATTACGCGTTTCTTACATTTCTACACGGTCCTCGAGGCTGCATTGGTCAGAAGTTCTCACTGGCTGAGCTCATGGCTCTCACGTGCGCTTTGGCAGGGAGATACAAGTTCGACATTGACAAGGACTACGAGGTACGGGATATCACGGATGGGATTGTGGCGAAGCCTAGTAAGGGATTGAGGGTCTGTGTGGAGGAGGTCCAGGGCTGGTGAGCATAGATCAGTAGCGTGTGAATAGAGTCTTATTAGCTACCTGAGCTTAATCAAGGGTTTCCGCCCTGCACATCAAGTAGCAAAGTATAATTCTCGTATTCATCTACCCAGCAAAGCCAAGACTGCGTAACGAGAAATGTCTCATAAGCCGGCATTTGTTGGCGCCCAGCTTCTCAGTGACACAGCCAACAAGGGGGTCAGCGACATGTCAGAAAGCTAATCTCTGCCACTTTTTACGTGGTCGTAGCAAGGATGTCGTCCCCATACTTATGCCCACACCGTAAGATCTAACGTCGCACCCTATCCCTGTCAGCCCCGATAACAGGCTCCATGCTTGTAATCTAAGCGGATAAAACACGACTCGGTGTTGGGTCAGCGACTGACTCGGAAAACAGCTTTGACTCTGAGGGACTTGTTGGTCCTGAGGACTGTTGCAGATCCGTCTCCGCAGCGCCCTTCTGGCAGACTCTGGGGTTTGAGTTTTCGCTCTTCTTCAGACCATCAGCTTTCTCGTATTCTTCACTCTTCATCCAAGCCATTATGTCGATAGCAGATGGTTCCTACGCTCGCGGCGACCTTCTAAATGGTTGCAAAGACCTTATTCCAGGCCTTAAGAATGCCTATGGTTATGTTCCCAGCCTGGCAGCTGGAATCGTCTTTTGTCTCATCTTTGCCGCTACGGGGATTTATCACATCGTTCGATCGTTCCAGAAGCGCAAAGCCACTTCGTACCTACTAGCCATTTCTTCGTACATCGAACTCATCGGCTGGATTGGTCGAACGTGGTCGTCGAAATGCGCATACAACAAGATTGCTTTCCTCCTTCAGATCACTACCCTCGTCGTCGCTCCCATCTTTGTCGCTGCCGCTATCTACGTCACGCTGGGATACCTCATCAAGGCGGTCGGACCTCAATACTCTGTCATCAAGCCCAAGCTTTACCTCTGGATCTTCCTCGTCGTTGATGTCCTGGCACTCTTGATCCAGGCCGGCGGTGGCGGTCTTGCTTCGGGGGCAGCTAACAAGGGCAAAGACACCAAGCCAGGCGCCAACCTGATGGTCGCTGGTATCATCTTCCAACTTGTCAGCATGACTGGCTTTTGCATTCTCTTTGCAATTTTCGTCTTGAGAACACGAGGTCTTGAACTCGCCAAGGGTCAGCGCTTCGTCATCTACGCCACCATCATATCCGTCGTGTTTGTCTACATCCGATGCATCTACCGAACGGTCGAGCTCCTTGAGGGTTGGAATGGGAAGTTGATGAAGACTGAGGGATACTTTATTGGTCTTGATGGTGTTTGTATTGCAGTTGCTATTCTGATCTTTTGTATCTTTGATCCAGCAGTGTTGCTCGATCACGACAAGCAGCCCGAGCTTTCTTTCAACGAGCTCAACACTGTTTCTACGAAGTGATGCTTTCATAGAGTCGGTATTCCCGATTGGTGCCAAAAGTGGTCGCTGACCAACGCCAAAGCAGTGTATCCTACTGGTACAAAATTAGTTGACAATGAGAAGTCTCGGAGATCTAGCTCAATTCCGCGTAGACCTTTTGAACCTCAACTAGGTGAATCCGTCAGATCAACGACATCCTCTTTTTCTTATTCGATATCTATATCACGGACTGGCTGCAGGATGATCATTGTACTGGGCCCATCGGTGCAAGTTGGAGATGGATGGCTGCGATCCAGATGTGTAAAGCTTCACAACTGTCATATTGAAATCTGTGCGTTCTCCCATTCCAATGCATTTCTCCCGGCCAGTATTGTTAGTGGATTATTTTAAGATCTCATCAAACCTCGGAGTTTCATAAGAGCGTTGCATCAAGGGATACTTCTAAGGCTGTCTCTTGTAGGACTTGTTCACTCTATAGTTCGTCTTGGTGCGTCGTCAAAGATTCGTCGCTCCTTGTCGTTCAGTTCCTTCCTTTTCTGTGAGAAAACACTCCTGGGTTTTCTCTTTCCTCTTCCTCCTCTTTGTCATCCATATTCAGGTAGGAGCTCTTTGGGCCTCTGTCACCATACCAAACTCTGCTCTTACCAGGATCTCCTTCGATATTTCTTCTTTTCATCATCATTGCTTCGGAATACACACCGCAAAATTGTTAAATCTTGTCAACGCTCCCATGGCGCCTCTCAACCAACCCAGATATCCTCGTGACGCGAAGCCCCCGAAATTCTTGGAATGCCCGTTTCACAAATACAATAGCATTCAGTTCTACTCATGTGGCACCCAACGTTTGGAAAGGATGGCGTGTTTGTGGAAACATTTCGAATCGGAGCACTCGCCTCGCGTCAAACCTCCTCCTTGGACTTGCCCAAGATGTCGTGAGGACTACAATGAAGAACAGCGTAGTTGGCACGATCAGTTGGAATGCGACAGAGCTGGCCCGGGAGAATCAGGCATCCTGCTTGATTCAGAGGTGATACAATACAAGGCTGCGACTGCACGTCAAGGGGCCGAGAACTCATGGTACAAACTTTAGGAACTCTTGTACCCGAAGTTGGAAAGGCCAAGGACACACCTTGTGGAGATCGCGGTTCCTTATCTCGTAGCAAAGGCTGAAACCGACGTGTTGAGAGAAGACTATCAGGCCCTTGTACTTCGCAACATATACGTGTCTTACAACACCCCGAGTAGTGGTAACAACAGATCTCGAAACTCGCCACTGCACGTCTCAAGGCCCGCGCGAATACAAACCTCCAATACACAAGTCGGCTCTAGCCCATATCGAGGCGGAAATCAGCAATCGCCAAGACCACCTGCTCCCAAACCACTGTCCGCTCCTAGCAAATATCAAGCTCAACTACAACATGTGAATTCCCAGCAACTACCACGACAGGACCCAAGCCTGCAGTCCCCTAAAAATGAGACTCAGTCTCAACAGCAGCGCGTACAGCCTCAACAGGTTTTGCCACGGGCTCCTCCATCACACATCGCTGCTTTCGGAAAGCAACATGTGACTCAGCATGCATCACAACCACATGCCCCCAGTCCACAGCTCCCTGGTGATGGAACTCTAGGTCACCCGAGACTTCGCAATGACCCGCCTCTGCCTAGAGTGGCGCCTATAGAGAGTCTTGGCATACCGACGAGCTCGATAGGCCTATCGAGCCTCGATTCCTCCCAGCCTCAAATGCAGGAATATTCTCCAAGGAATGAAATCGATATCTTCTCCGATGCGCCTTGGGGCCCTGATAACCTTGATATTCCAGGGATAAAAAAAGAATATGTGGAAGAGAAGCCTCGACCTGAGGAAGTTTCGGTGGAGGACATGATAGATTTGGTTGACAGTTCAAAGCATTAGTCCCTTACGCTGGTCCTAGGTTATCATGACTACAATCCAGCGTCTCCTTTCGGTAACAGAAATAATTCGTTCCCTGATATGGATCAAGAATAATTAGATGCTGTGATTGATCTGACGGCTTCGAGCTGTTCATATATCATTGTCCAGTCTAAATTGACCCTCCATGATCGTTTTCTCGGGTTAACTGAAGAAAGCTATCCGTAGCAGAGACATAGGATTACTGGGTAGCCCGGGAAAGAAGCCGAGAAAGATAACGCCAGAGACGATCGTGAGAAGTCCTTCGAGCTAAGAGCCAACTATGGGTCAGTTCAGTCATCTGATAGGAGGAGGGCTAGAAATTAATGCTGTTGGAAGGAGAGAGGTACATACGATAAAAAGTCACTGCTGGCCGGCCGAACCAGCTACGTCTGGCATATGAAGTCTAGATACGGCATACTTATTAATGGCCGAGTTCGAGTGTTGCGACTACATACACGCCATCATTGCTCTTGGCCCTCTCACCAACATGGTTCTGGCCGCCGCAAAAGACCCAGACACCTTTTTGCGCGCTAAGGAGCTTCTGATTATGGGTGGTGTTATATCTGTACCAGACAAAATATCGCCTGCATCGAAAGCCAATACTTACAATGATGCGGTGGCAGCCGCACGAACGTATACTGACTAGCGCAAACCTGGCATTTACATTTCCAACCATCGGTTACAACAAATACCGCTACTACCTTACCCAGAGCGACTTTCGAAGCAGTTGAATGTTACAAATTAACCCATACCGTACAAACAGTCACTGAATCACGTACGATACCCTCACTGATACAGTAAAGCCCCTAGCTGATACTGGGAGCCCCTCTCAACGCCGGCCTAAAACTTTATGAAAGGGATGCATGACAACTGTAATAAAGACTGCATCTTTCTGGAAGGCAATAATGAAGAGTGAATCACGCTACACGATCCGGTACTTGTCCGGCATGCGCTCGGAAGGGACTTCTGGAACATATCAGCACCTAAGGGCCTCCGCGTGGACAGCTTGGGGCAATGGGCGAAGGGTATGCATATTGAGTAACGGTTTAACGTGACAGAAGAAGAAAACAGTCCCCTAAGCCCAGACAATTGCCTAGGATATCGTGTCCGTCAAGCGTTGGAGAGTCCAGGGCGAGCCGAGTTCCAGAGAATGATCATATCACCATTCACAAATTGACAGTATGCGTCACGGAAGATTAAAGCATGATTACCTGTTCCAGGTTGTTACTAGAGGTTTATTATCGCATTGTGTGAAACATTTTATCACCAGTTTATTAAACTCTGGATATCTATATAACTGCGTTTTAGCCATTGGCTTTTAGTGGCGCTTTACTTAATATTATCGATGTCGTCGATGATCCAGCGCCGGCTCCCCTTGCAATACTTGGAATACTTACTAATGCTAAGGGCGTAAAGGCCAAGGGTCCCAGGAAGGCCTTTAGGGATGTAGCCGACGCTTGACTGGCCCTGAAGGCTGATAAGCTCGAAGGTTTTCGCCTGAGTCCAGGCGCAAGGACGCGATTGTTCAGGATCTTGTTCATAGGAGCAAGTCATGTTCTGTAAATTAGTAGCATCTAGCAGTATGAGGTAACTGTTCTAGAGGAGTGTTGGGTATTGCGGTCGTGGGAAGAATTGTAGGGCCCTCAAGACCGGTTTGCCTCATAGTTGCCGTCCAACAATGGGCGCTTCTTATGAATGAGTTGATAAGAGTGGTTCTGCCATTCTTTACCGCCAGTTTGACCGTTAGAAATGCAAGATATTCGACTGTGTTGCTTATTTCTATCCCTCAAATATTTCCCCTCGTCGTACTCGCCCGCCATGCTCGTTGAGGAACTGAAGACGCTGCGAGAGGGCATTCTCCCTCTAGAGCTGGACCCACTGCGAGTTGCCATCCGTGGAGAAGCAGTTCCCGACGATTTCCCGCATGAGTTGGTTTACAAGTGTCTGGTCGCAGGCATTCGGTATCACGACGGCTTCGCTATCGAACTTCGTGGCAAACACCTGCACCAATCTTTGGAACGAGCCTTTCATGCTAGGGACATCATGAGTAACCGGATACCCGAGATGGAGAAGCCAGAACAGATACCATACTGCTTCTGGCACCCCGACGTCCCCAGCCAAGAAACCTTGCGACAGCTCTTGAAGGTCCATCCTACCATGTTCATGCGCTACAAGATTGGCCGAGCGTGTGCTGCTGGTGGATACACGGAGCTTTACAAAGAGCTAGATCTTCTTCCTGATGTCGCCATTACAGAGGAAGCCCGCGATAATTTACCTGCCTCTCAAGGTATTTACGATCTGGTAATGGGTGCAAAAAGCCTCTACCGCGTAATGGACGATTACAATCTTTGTCTATTTGACGAGCCCGAAGCCGGAGTCTTTCTGAACGGCGATACCTGTGTTCGGTCGACACTGGACAAGAGGCAGCCAGTAAACCACGAAATCTTCCCTCCTCCGTTTGACATCACCGAAGATTGGTGCGTTGCGGCCGACGGGAAACGGCTGGAAGAGAGGGCAATTCCAACCGAGACGCTCGCTCCACTCTACGCTCCCTTGCCACGACACCTACCCACGGTTGACAAAGACATCCTCATTCTCGTGGCCGCTTTCACTGGAAACATTGACCGTTACGTGCAACTAAGACGACCTCGCCCTGTCAATGGCGAAATGCAGTGCATAGTGCGCGGTTTCTACCACAACACCCTTTTCGCCAAGTGGTGCTATGAACAACCAGAGCTAGCTGTGCTCCAGAAGTTTGTTCACGCGCGATTCATCATGAACGACGATCTGACGTGGCTAAACAACGAGAGGCCTTTCACCAAAGAAGATGTGCCGCACACGTATTATATGGTATCCTCAGATAGCCAACCGGACAACGTATCTGGAGCTTCTGCATTTAATCCCCGATCTAAAGCAGCTCGTAGTTCAGGCATTAGTCGTATCTGACAGCCCATCCGAATTCGCAAGACTTGAGCCAGAAATCACTCCAGAAATATATGCGGAGATAATGAGTGAAGTCCGCTCAGATGCATTCCAGGAGATTTTACATCAGCGGTTGTCGAATGAAGAAGAAGAGGAACTGGCTGAATGGATGGAACTTCCGCACGATATCCACGACGTGGCTCCTTATGATCATTTGGTATCGAAGGAAATGAAACCATGGTTTGCTAAAGCCCTGAAGGAAGTGACTTTGGATGATGTTGGTTTTGAGAACAGAAAAGTGTATGAGCTAGATACGAGAGATGCTAGGGATTTTATGCTACATTTCTGCGTTCCCCAAACAGCCAAGGGATTATCATAGAGAATAAAGGGAAACGAGTGTGAGAGTTGCAATGGGAGGGAGTGGGAATGGTTCAGAGTTCAAGACAATCCACTTTGATGCAGAAGCGTAAGAGCTGTTGCTAGTTTTTATACCTTGATCATTCGAACTCAAGTTGAGCATTAGACTACATGATATTTAATATCTTGCAATTAACAGAAATCTCGTACCGCATTTTCAAGTCAAGCTCAAAGCACTGCATGAGACTATGAATAATTGTTTCCGCCTATACTTCAGACATGGGTTTGATATGACTTGTTGAGACCCTGATCACAAAGGTTTCTGTAGCGTGAATGAATACAAGCTCTCGCCCTTGGTAAAATAGCTAGATTTATTGTGATATGAGTTAGTCACGCTGCCACAAAGACCTTATGGCTGGTGACTTATGTTCAAGGAAACACAAGTTCCGTGTCATCCTTCCCTCAAGCTCCGACTCAATCTAGAAGAGCCAGAAATGGTACGGCGACTGTCAAGTCGAAATATGAACCAATAATGTTCATTTCCTGTCTTTATACGCTAACATGCGTCTGGTAGTATAGCGAGGTAGACCAGCCCGCTTGCTACCTATTGCAATGTAGTAACATAACCAGGTATCGAAATATCGATGAACAAAACTTTTCTATGTCCAAAATGATACCAGCTACTATCTTACTCCTCTAAGAAGTTCAGAGAGTGGTCATCAGAGAGCCCAGGCCAATCTTGATAGATATCTGTTCCAGCTGTCTGTGATAAAGGACCTTGCTGGAAGATATCATACGGATGATGAGTAGGGTCAAATGCTGTCATACAAATCAATGGCCCTGTATGTGCTGACAAGCTAGTAGTGGCCCACTCAGAGTCGGTCTGCTCTGGTTCGAACGCTTCCTCAACTGATGAGGGATCACAGTGGTAGCTAGCCACGGACATTGACTTTAGAAGTTGGCTGGGTAGGAAAGCTGAGGTCGGCATAGAGTCAAAATCTGACGTGTAATATGGACTATAAGGGTAGTCGGCAAGAGTTGTAGGTCCCTGGTAAGAGTCATCTCTTGCTCTTGTGTTGGTTTCTGTCAGAGGCCCTTGAAGCTGTTCATCAGACTCGTTTTTGAGCGGCTTGTTTTCGAATCGATCCTCAACTTTATCGAGAAGCTCTGGTAGTAAAGATAACAGTTGTCCTGGGGTAGCTGGTAACCCTCGCTCTCGAACATACCTGGACACAATTTGGCTTCCGTCTTGATTCCAGATATTTCGGATTATTCCCGTCATCTCTTTGGCAATACCATCTAGAAACGGCTTAGGTGGAGTATCGGATGTCCCAAAAAGAAGCACCCAGATGTCGCGCCACTGAGCCGCTGATGATATCCGTCTGTCAGAACGGAGCTTGAGAGCCTCCAAAATGTGAGGAGGTATAGTATCAGAGCTATCTATTATACTGCGAGAACAGCACCCTGCCTGTAGATGATCCTCAAGCAGCTTTGGGGAAGGAAACCCCCGTTTGCAGGCGGAGCAATGTGAGTTTGCTGCATGCCGTCTCTTTAGGTGTTGCTTGACAATCGATATAGTGACCATTCTGACATTTATGCACTCAAGAAAGCGAACTGGATCCTTTCTGTAAAACGGACAAGCGAATGTCTCTTCTTTCTTTTTCTCAACCTCACCACTGCCAGAATAATAATCGCGATCACGGTCTGAATCCTCAACATCGTTGTGACTTTTGGTCTTCCGGCTTTTCTTCTGGGGGGCACTACTGCCTTCGGCTGGTCTTTTCATCAAATTGCTCGTATCTTGACTTGTCTGGAGCCCTGAAACTGGATGCTCCAGTTTCATTTCCGTCTTGATGTGCTGTACTGAGCCACGCATATCAGCGTATAATTGAGAGCTCGTTGGAAGTCCAACAATAGTGCTTGAGTTTCTGTTGTTCTCTGGTGAAAAGTCTGGTATTGAATGTGCCATATTTGCTGAGAAGACCAGGCTATCCGGCAATGATGCTCGACGAGAGCTTGCGTGACCAGAACATATATGATCGATTTCCTGACGTTCTAAATGATTGTCTCCTTGTTCATTAGGGACATCCTTGCGATTCACTTTGTCTTGTTAATATTAGCGCGATGTGATTCTTTCCGACGTGAGTTTCACTTACTTGGAGCCAGAGGTCTTAACCTCGTATTATTGTTCGGCCGATGCTTGAGTGGCCGTATGCTAAGACACGAATTGCCCTGCTTGCCAGCCTTTCGTTTCGAAGGCCTTGTATTTATCTGTTTGCTCTTCCCCGTGTCCTCTGGAAGGCCATCACTGAGATCTACGTACCCCTCGTTACAAGTAATGCTCTCATCCATATTGATGCGTTCATTGCCATGCGAGCTTCGCGCACTGCACTCTTGAAAATCGGTATCGTATCGAACTAACATATTCTTTATCTTATATTCACTTAGCTCCTTGGCCAGCTAGATCGAACAGCGCTCAAGAATGAATTCTGAAGGTTCTATAAATCCATATGTGTCTTGTAGTCACAAGCTTTGGAGAAATACAGTCAAGGCTGATCTCAAATTGGTTTGATGAAAGCGGACGGAGAAAATAGTGAAAGCTTGCCCAAGACAGATGGGTTGGTGCGAAACAAAAAACATCGCAGGGCAGCAAGGAGCGATGCGCCATCTATACCATTACAACTACTGTGGGGTTCATCAGCTTAGGCATACGTCAGATAGGGCATGTAATAACTGCGCCCCGGTACATGGAGGTACAACAAACAGATACGGCACAATTGGCGCTCAAATTTGGCATGTTTCATTTTAACCTGGTACCGCTGTATTCCTGTGGTACTACGATCCTTTCGTGCATATGCACAGATGCCCGTACTATTCAAGACATCCAGCCCACTTTACGTCAAGCCTCACAATCTTGCTTTGAGGTCTGCTGATTTAGCCATGTTGTGTTTTTCAGGTGCTGGCGATAGCGGCTCCCGTTGGCTGCAACCCCCTGTAAGCAGCCGTCGCTGAATGTCAAGGCCAGAGTCCGATAGCCAATCTTGGATGCGGCCATCACATTCTTGCTGAGAGCCTACTTTACTCGGATCTCTGCAGATACATCAGTGACTCAATTTTCTGGTCGCAAGTGGGCAAATCTGTTGACCTTCTTGACGATTGTTTGTAGGCCGGCATGATGAAGAAGTTTATTTGACGGACATGGAGTTTCAACTATCAGAACACGCAGTCGGATTATATAGCATAGTTAACGCTTTATTTCCACGAATGTGCCCTTCATCTTCACAATGGTGATGGATTATGTGAACTGTCCACCATCGTGAGCTCTCGATTGATTGAACGTCACGCTAACAAAGTACGACCCCCAAGTCTTCGAACTCGTGAGGAATCTGTACCTGCGTTGACACGACCATTCAACAGAAAAACGCCAGGGCGAACTCTGCGGACCAAGGAAGTGTCTAATGCAGGCGCCTCAAAGCTACGACCAATCACTATCTCCAATGCCTTAGGTGATAAGCCTCCACGATTGTGGAGGGCTGAATCACCTTGCATCACAAGCGCCAAAATTCCCCCGCAACGTCCACATCCGTGGATAGATTGTTATCAGTGAGGCCTCTCAAACAATATTCGCTGTTAACGGCTTCCATATCGGTGGAAGAGGATCTGCAATAAACGATAACGATCCCTGTAACCTTCGAGCGAGGCGCCCTAGCTTCCACGATCGTGGGATCAAGCCGCCCTGCTACTATGGCATACCGCTATTCTTGGTTACTTGGCATCCGATCTATCGAACTTTATTCCTCACCGCATCTTTTTGTTATTCAATTTAAACCCTTCTGGAACCCAATTCAGTGCGATGAAACGGTTGGGGTGCGTACGTTCATCTAAGGATTTAGATGAGTAAAAGATGTCCTTGATTTTTCGTACACCACACACACAATTGTGGTGCGGCTCTGCTCTTGTCTGCCTGTCAAGGCTATGTTCATGAAATAAAAACGCCCTCCGCAACGGTGGATAAGGCAGATAGTTCGCATTATACAAAACTAATAACTATACAACCACCAACCCATACAATGAAACACAATTAACCTTTGTTCAATCTCAAACATTCAATAAGCGTCAATTAATCTCAAACATTCCATAAGCTTCAATTGCACCCTCCAGGCTCATAGGGTTTCAAGGGGATGAACGACATCGGCGCCCTGTTACAGAAGTACCTAAAATCTCACTAGTAGCGGCACGATGTCTTCGGAACTTCCAGTACGACACTGTTGGAGGCTGTCCAACGGTGAGGGCGACGAGTCGTCCACCCCAGGCTTACACAAACGTTTCACCAGACGCCTCTCGCATTTCTGGAGACGCAAACGAGACAGATTCGAAGCCAAAGTGGCTTCGAAAGCAGAGCAAACAGGAGATATGCCTCCAAACAATGGAAATGATGATTGCAAGTCAATTGGCCAGCATATAACCTACAAAGCCCTGAGCCAACTGTTCAAGTCAGGCTACCCTGTACTTGGCATTCTAGCCCTAGCGAGTGTGCAGTGTCAGCAAAATGGTAAATAGCTAGGTTTCCAGAACAACTTTAGGCGCATTGAACCTGTCATTGACATAAAGACAATTAGTTTTCAATGCGCACAGTGGCCATCTGGGAGCTTTTGGCCCAGCCTTGCGCATCGGCCCGCTCCCGCCGTTGGGTCTTGCCCCTCCGAAACTAGACATCTCTACAGGGGATCATTACAGGGCTGCTGCTGGGGGCCCTTCTAGCCAGAAAAGGCCACCGGGGAGCCCTGGCAAGTCTAGCAGCAACAGCAAGAAGCCGCGCAAGGAAAACAGACCTGCCGACAATGCCCAGAATGGCACAAATGGTGATGACGCAAATGGTCGTGGCGACGAGTCCCAGAGCGACACAGATCATGATGAGGAGGACGATGAAGGTGATTCCAGCCGCGATGGACCACGTTTTCCTCCACCCACAAATTCCCCCGACCGCAAAACATTTCCATGCCCATTCCACAAGTATCATCCAGCTCGATACTGTAAATGCAAAGGGCTCCACATAACGTCCATCAGCTATGTTATACAGCACATCGGCCGACGCCACGTATTGAAAGAAGTGAGGATGGATGTACAGGAAACAGCTCATTCAACGGATGGTGATCCCGACGTCGCGGAGAGAACGACAGACCCCCATAAGATCGTTTTCTACTGTCCGGCGTGCAGGGATGAGTTCCATGGCCGTGGGGCTGATATCAGATGTGATCGCCACACAGTATGCGAGGCAAAAAGCATTGCAGAGACGGGCGTTTTGCTACCGGCAGAGTTTAAAAAGCTCAAAGATGATGTCAACGCGGCGACTGGCAACGATCAGAAATGGGAGAGAATATGGACCACATTGTACCCGGGAACATCGACACCAACCCCGTATAACGAGGCAGAACCTGTTGCTCCAATTGTTGTTGATGCACAGCCACACAACGCTATCCAAGATCACCCAGTTCCTGGAGCTGTCAATCAACCTTACCACCCTGCTCCTCCAGAAGATTTTGTTCAGCAAGTAGCGGACCTTCCGCAAAACCCTCACAATTATTTGAGCGATGGCCCGTTTACCAATATGTTTAATGACTCCTGGGGTACGGCGGATGAGTTTGGAGATGTGAACCATGCTACTAGCCACATCCCGAACACTGCACCGACTGATTTGCCGGACTTGACGCAGTGGCCCATGCCGTTTCCCAATGATACCTGGGAAAACTTCACTGCGAGCATCATCTGTCGCGTCTGTAGCAACGCTGGTCATATGGCTCGCGATTGTCCCGACCGATACCAGAACAACTTCCGCGGCACTTAATGATTGAAGCTCTGAGCCTGAGATTTTAACGACATCATCATGAATTCTTCTTCATTTGAACATATTTACGTCTTATCTTGGATTTCTGCGTTATAAGGAGTGAGAAGTGGGACAGTTGAACAAGTACAAAAAAATAAGGGCACCGGCGTTGCGAACAGGATTGAGTTTTTGGGGGTTTAATGACGATAAATGATGGGCAATTGAAGCTCAAAGGGAGTTATGGGGTATTGAATTGGGTTATAAATATTGGTTCGCCAATAACAGCAGTTAAAGGTACCTTGCGGCAGCATTACGTTAGATGGCACCGAAAACATTAGAAGACAGTTAGTTAGACCTTTACTATATAAACTTATAAAATTAAGCAGCGCCTGTAAAACCTATTAATATTAACCTAGCCTAATTAGGAAGGTTATTAAATAAGGCTTTTTTTTATATATATTAATTAAATAGCCTAAAAATATTAATTAATAGATTTAATTTAATTATATATTACTCTTAAAGTTATAAATAAAGTTATTTATAGATATATAATATATAAAAATAACTAAAGAAATAAGCTCTATTTAATAATATAGTCTTAAGGCTAGCTAACTATTTAAACTCAAGAAATATAGGCTAAAAGTAAAAGAAATTTAAAATTAAGTCTTTAAATTAAAGAAACTAGTTATAGAAAAAAAGAAATTTATTTAAAGGCTAAAAGGCTTAAAGTAATAATATTTTTATATTATTATTATATTTATAATTTAATAAATTTTAATTTAATAAATAAATATAAAAGACCTTTTTAATATAAAGCTATAGCTTATTTTTAAGTTAAATAATTAATAATTAATAAATAATAAAAAAAAGACCTTTAGTTAATTATAAAGGAAAAATAAAACTATTTATCTTATTAGCTAAACCTTAAGAAGGAGTTATTTTAAGATTTTATTTAGCTTTATTTTTAATGATATATTATTACTATAATTTAATTTTAAAAATAGATAAAAGATATATTTAAATTATTAATATTATTAAATAAATAAATAGATTTATTTATATTTTTAAATAGATAATAAACAGGCTTTAAAAAGTATTATAAAATAATTAAAAGGAAAGTTATAAAATAAACTACTTAATAACTTAAAGCTTATTATAAGATATATAGGTTATTTTATTAATTTATTAAATAAATATAATACAATTAATAATTATTATTATTAAAATAATAATTATTACTTAAAATAATAATTATTACTTAAAATAGAAATTAAATATATTTTTAATATACTTTAAAAATACTTTAAATAATAATATGCTTTAAATATTAATAAGATATATATAGTATTTATAAATAATACTAATAGTATTTAAGCTATATTTAAAGAGAAAATTATCTCTATAAAGATTATATATAATAAATAAGAAAAGTAATAAGTAATAGTAATTTTATATATCTTTAAGGATAATATTTATAGGCTTAATTCTATAACTATATTTAAAGGTTTTATTAATAATAAAGGCAGGATTTTTAAAGATAAGGGTTATCTTTATACTTTAAGAATTAAGGTAATATATAATAATAATATATATAATTTTTTTTTCTTTACTATTAGCCTTATAAGGCTATTAAGCTATTAACTTTATATATAAAGGCTTAAATAATAAGGCCCTTATAGTAGGCCTATATCTTAAAGGTTAAAATTATATACAGTTTATTTACCTTAATAGTATAATTACTGCTTTAATTAAGTAGTATTGATATTACCTCTTAATAGCTATATTAGCCTTCTTTTTTTACCTTAACTAAAAGATTAAAATAATACTAAGTTAAGTTTATTATAAAGTATATTTCTTAATTTAACTTTTTTTATACTTATTAATTATAGCTATTAATATAATACTATAAAATAGCCTATAGTTATATAATTAGACCTATTATATAACTAGCTATAACTTTAATATAGCTATTAGGCCTGCCTTATAGAGAGCTAATAAAAAAGAACTAAAAGAGGTCTATATAATAGTAATTACTATTAAAAAAAACTTTTTATTAAAGTATTAATTTAATTTAATTAAAATAGCTATTTTTAATTATAACTTAATTAAGTTAATTTATTATATAGGCTATTTTAGCTTAATTAATTTAAATTAAATTAATAATAAGCTATTAAATCTAAAGGACCTAAAGAGGGTCTTAAAGAAAAGTTATCTTTTTAAATTAAACCAGGCTGCCTTTCTTACGGCCTTTATAGGCCTAAACTTAAATATATATAAAGAGTGGCTTCTTAATATAGCTAAAAGGGTTATTATAGTAAAAGGGGTATTACTCTTAATATAAAGATAAAGGTAGGGTAATAGTAGAGTTAGACTAAAGGTTTAAAGGAATTAGGTTAACTCTATTACTTTATATAAGTTAGTTAGTAAAAGTTAAATTAACCTCTATTAATTAAATATATATACTTAAGTATATAATTAATTAACTTTATATTTAAGAACTGTAAATAAAGTAATATTAATAAAGAAGTAATAGTTTAAATTAAAGATAATATATATAATAATAAAGACTTAATAGAAATATAAATAAAAAAAGATATTTTAATTATTAAATTAATAATAAATAACTTTCTATTAATAATAAATATTATAACTTTTTACTTAATAAAATAAATTAAAAAAAAATTAAAAAATAGTTTATAACTTTAACTTAAATCTCTATAGGCTATATAAGCTTATTATAGCTATTAAATATAATAATAAATAAATTATTTAAATAGTTTTATTAAAAGGAAATAGATATTTATAATCTTAAAGAAAAATAAAAAGGGAAGATTAATTAAAATATAAGTAATTAAAGGATTATAATAATATAAATTATTTAAAAAGCTTAAAATAAAATAAAAAACTAATATAAAATAATTATAAGGTTATTTCTTTATATAAAAATAACTATAAGGCCTAATAAAAGTTAAAATAATTTTATTTTTATAAAAAGAATTAAAAATATTAACTTTTTAGGCTAAAAGATAGTAAAAGATATAATTATTAAATTTAAAAAACTTATTAAATACTTTAGAAATTATTTAACTGCTATTAAAATAATTAAAGATTTAATTATAATTAAAATTTATAACCTAAAAGTTATAGCTATAAATAATAACAATTATAATTAATTTTAACTTTTAAATATATCTTTAAATTAAAAAAAGCCTTTTTTTTACTATTTATAATATTAATTAAAGTATTAATTAAATTTATTTTCTTTTTTTCCTTTTTATTTAAGCTTATAAAAATATATTTTTCTTTTAATTAAAATATTATTAATTAATTAATAACTTTATATTTTAATTTAATTATAATAAATATTATTTTTTATAAAGGAAATCCCTTTTAATTAATTAAATAAAAAGAAAAGCTAATAAATAAGGTAATAAGTCTATTTAACTTTAAAGTATTTATTATTATTAAAATTATTAATTATATTTATAAAGTTATATTAATATTATTTAAAACCTTTAAACATTTATATATATATATATATAAATAATATTAATAAATATATTTCTTAAATATAAAGTTATAATAATTATAAAAAGTTAAAATAATTATAAGTTATTAATAAAATTAAAAGATGAAAAAGAATAGTAAAGGTTAGGTTTATAAATTAATAGTAATCTTATATAGTTAGAAACTGCAGGCCTGTATATTAGCTTTAACCTATATATATTACTTAATTTTATAAGTTTATATAATATATAATAAGATTTAAAGAGCGGTATTTATATCAGTTTATATAATATACCTATCTTGACTTAAGGTAATGGAAGCTCATAAGATACGCCCCAATAAGCGAGCAACTCGAACATCATCAATGAAAGTAGTCTGAACGAGAAAGTCATATTGAGTGAGGCTCTACTAACAAATTCCAAATAGCTTGCACGCCAATCAGATCATAGGAGCATTCCGAACATGGTGAATCCACCGTCATGCCACTAATCCATGCCCGGACCAGGGGCTCCCTCAGGGCAGAATGACGACACTCAGCCAAAATGTGAGATGATTTCTGGATCATGTGAATTTAAACTTCTGGGGTTTTCCCGTACCCAGCGTATGGAAATCAGCAGCTTTTGGCGATCAGGCCACAGCTTTGTAGCAGCACCATTCGAGTTTATTCTCGTCAACGCCCATGATCTCAGCGCACAAAGACCAGATTGTCGGGATCAGCCGGGTTAATTCAGGATAAAAGGGAATTGAACCGCAACTTGTAAATATCATTCATCACCAATTGACTACTCATCAACTAAAACTACTCAATCACTAAGTCACTGAATATTTATTATTATCAGAAAAATACAACAACCATGACGACCAATTCATTCGGCTCAGCGCTTCCCCGCTTCGATTTCCCCCGCCAACCCGCTGCCCCAAAATTGACAGTCCAAGCGGCTCGCGCATTCCCCACTGTCGCCATTGTCGCTACAGCTGGTACGTCTGCGGCCCAACTTCAACTTCAATTGACAAAAGCTAACACCTGTACAGCGGCTTATTACTACACATACTACTATGCCCCCAGCCGGGAATACCACATGTATACGCATTCTTCGATACAAAATAGCTCGATGTTCCAGAGCACAAGGAGTACAAAGCCAAAGGCGGAGATAACGCCTTCGGAACGGATGGAAGAGATAGGATTGTGGTGGACGGCATATTAAATGATGCACACCTACGGCTGAAGCGGTTTCGTTCTATTTGTCTTTGTAAAGGAGTATGGTTTTAGTCTTGGGCCAAAATTGAGTCCGGGGTATGTTCGGGAGCGAGTTGATCAGATATACCATGGCACCGAGAGACGTACTATACTATACAATTATTGTCAAACATGTTCTTCTGCAGTGTATGGGTCAAGGTTGATTTATTGCGGCTGTCTTGGTTTCCAATTTGACCAAGCCGTATTCATGATCGTCCGAGAATGAAACAGGAATGTCATTGCAATGCCCCCAAGTGTGTTCTCCCTCTAGGCATGTCAGGGTCTCAAATGGCGTAGCTTCTCTGTCCCTGTTACACCGTTTGATGTAGGTCTCAACAGCCTGTTGTTTCATCGAAGATATTTGCGCAATGGTTTAATCTTCTTATTAGAAGCCGTTTAGTTTTTGTGTTGAAGATTTGTAGTCCTCTGAAGGTAGACTTTCCTCCATAGAGCTATTAAAGGACATGAAATCACCCATTGAGATGTCGCTGCCGAGGTCCCCCAGATGCCAATCCATCCCGAGATCCGAATGGAGCCCACCGGCTGAGTGATCAGGATAAGAGTACTCGAACTGGTTTTGATGCTGAGTAGGCGTGAGACAGGTGAAGCTGTAATTTGACATGCTGGAACTTTCAATGTCATTTGAAAGCTGCCATTCTTGTGTTGGTGGGCCAACTGGCTCTGGAGCTTTGATTGACCCCGTATTGAGTATCTCACTGCTGCCCACCTTCGGAGATTGGCAGGCATGTCCCGGGTTTTCTCTCTGTGAAAACGCCTTACCAGTATCCTGAAGTTTTTCGACTGGTTCTTTCAGACTTTCTTCTGCGACTGTCTGTTCCTTCTGTTCGAAATATCCTTCAACTCTGCTGAGAATATGAGACAGCAATGGGCGCAACTCATCTGCGCCCGGAACATTTAGTGTACCACTCAAACTAGAGATGATGTTCTGCTCTTCCGCTCTCCATATGCCACGTATTATTCCCGTGACCTCTTTGAAGATACCGTCATGGTGGGGGTTTAGTGCGTTGCCGAGCCTTCCAAATAAGATCCTGCATATTTCATGCCATTGACGTTCGGGAGACGAACGCCTATCAACACGGTACCTTAGTATCTCTTGTGCACGCGGAGAAACGCTGCCATGGTTTGTACAGTCTTTTATTGGACATTCCTGTCGCAGAAAATGCTCCTCATATGCTTTTTGTAAGGAAAACCCCCTTGAGCATCTGGAACAGGTATAATTCCACGTGTGCCGCCTCTTCAAGTGTTGTTTGACATCTGATATCCGATTCAGCCGAAGGTTGATACAATCAAAGTAACGCTCCGGGTATTTCCTGTAGTAAGGACAAGCGAAAGCCTCGATGCTCCTATCTTTATTGGTTGATGGAGCAGTACGACTCTTTTTTTGCGGATCCTTATTTTCCGCAGCACGCCTCTTGGATGACATTGTCGTTGCTTTGCTATCCGAACAATTTCCTTCTTTCTGTGGTTGCGCCGCGGGAGGCTGTCCCCAACACGTACTCTTTGGGAGCAAGATTCGTTTTGTTTTCGCGCCCTCTAGCATCCCTAATTCAGTTTCATTTATGGGCCAAAGGTTTGCGTCGTCAAGAAGTTCGGTCTTTGGTGGTGATATAGCGCCCGATGTCTCTTGCCATGATTCCGTATGTGACCATGGCCCCGAGACCGGCTGATGGCTCTCGCACAGTTCTGCTATATCTGGATTTGAGGCATCATCGAGATATGCAATGAATTATTAGCTTCCTTCACTCTGGGGAATAATGGCAATGAATCATACGATAAAGCGTGGAGGATTCTCTTTGGACATGATCGAAGTGTTCATGTTGGTTTTGAGATGTGGTGAGTGAACTCAATGATCTAAGAGGATGTTTGAACTGCCAATCTGCAGGCTGGTCGTCCGGAATGGAGGGTTTTGGAACTCCGTCCTCGTCCTTCGCCGGGTAAGCAATAGGAGGGTCGGTGCGAGAAGAGTCATTGGAAACCGCCAAGGTTCTCTCCGGCTCGAAAGCGTAAGACTTTGGACCGATTTTCATTCTGCATTTCCAATTAGTCGGAAAAACTATCACGCTCGGGTATTGGCGCTGTACGTAGTAAACACGTTATTTCAAATAGGGGACTGCTGAAAATTTATTCAAATTGTGATACACCGCTTGGGAGATACCTAGGCAAGGCATCCAATATTAGAAATACAGGAGGCATGCGGCTGAAAGAGCTTACGTAGTGTTCAGGATGAAGAATTGCAGGCAACGAGGCAACTGAGGGTCGGGCCACAAGACATATGCGAGCCACTACGAATGTGGTGGTGGGGAGGGGGTGCAGAACAGGCTCTGAATAGCAGACATCCGATAAATGTGTGTGAGGCCATTCCGAATCTCATAGCCTCTGACACTTTAAACGTTAATGATTTTTATGCAATCTATTGAACGATTGATGCATCTTTAAGATTATCAGGATTTTCTAGTCGCTTATGATGAAATGCCTTGAAATTACAAAACAATATTGCACTTTTAACCGCCATCAAATATGCCTTCCATTATAGAGCCGCCTTGAGCCTGGAATTGGATTATTCTTCTCAGTTTCGTGTTGAGCTCCGGGGCTGTGCCATGGCGCTGCTCCTGTCAGCAGCCTGCCTTGTAGGTCAAGCCCTGGATCCGACAGCCAACTTTGAATTCTGCCATCGGATTCTACCCTTTTACTTAATGGGTTCGGTTCACTTCGAGCGCGGGTTAGAGAACATGGATGGTGTAATGGGTATTTCAAACAAACCTGGTTGAAGTTGTCATGGAAGATGGCATCGTTTGAGCTAGCTGGTAGAACTTTTGACCGACTCTAACCAAAAGACATGTTCGAAGTCGATGAATGACTCATATCTAGTATATAATTATGGCTTTCTCACCAAATTACCGTCGTCCGCAACGGCGGATGCTCGGCCTTAGCACTATGTCACGACTGTGGAACAATTTATCAAATGCCGACGAATAGTATAGCCAGCAGGTCTTGGGGGCCAATGAGGTCTCAGTACGGCCATAACGAACCACAAATGCGGGCGCGGAGAGCTTGGTAGTTGGGAAAGAAACAATATGTGGCGGCGAATGAGAGCTGCGGGTGTGTCGTACAACAGCAATAGTGTAATACTGTATCGAATAGGATCATCGGCCAGGGCTATGCGGCATATGCCGCCGCCCAAGCTTCCGCTTCTGCGTACAAGGAAATTTCTCACTGGAGAGGAGGCCTCTGCGATGAACCTGTTCGCCAATGGACTTGTGTCTCGATAGGCCCGCACAAGATGACAAAGTCATAATGATATTAACTTTCCGCGCAAGCGTAGTACTTCCACATATGTGTCCAAGCTCACGCACCTGCGTGAGACATGGCTGCCCAAAGACATTGCCCAGTGTGATACTCCAATATACTGCTGATGGACTATCTTTCTCATGTTACTCGGAACCCTAATTATAAGCTTATTCTCGAGAACAAAAGCGTGGAATACCATGATATCCTTCCATTTCAATGGGAAAGTCTGGATTGCAATTGCTTGAACGGAGTTTGGTCGATTTCACATAGCGAAATACTCCTAATGAATGAGGCTGTTTCTCTTCCGCGGCTGTGTAGGTCGATGTGTGTGATTGCATGTGTGTAGATTACAGACAACAGAGCCTCCAAGACCTGCGCAATCGCGGAAGGCAGAAAGCTGCCTGAATTAAAAGGGCTCCTCAATACTTTTCTCTCGTCTTTTCAATCCTGACTTGGTAGTTGTAAAAGTTGGTGCTCATTGATTCTACGAAAACACATTTCTTTTCTCCGCCTCACAAAGATCCGGCATATCCATATCCCTCTGACAAGATGTCCAGCCAACAGAGCTTCCCTAATGGCGAATTACAGCTCCCAGTCTTCTTCGCATGCATTTTCTACAACACCGACACAATGCAATACCACGAGTGCAGGCACATGCGTCTTCGCCGACCAAGTGACGTCTCCTGGCACCTCGAACGGTGTCACACGTTGCAAGAGGTCAGACTGTGTACGACTCGAGAGGCCAAGGCTGCCGTTAAGAATGGAAAAGAGAAAAGCATTTGCACAGATCCCAAGGAAATCAAGGTCTACGATCCGATCTGTCGTCTAATGTTCTGTGGCCCAACGGCGGAGGCGGATCGCCAACGCCACCTGGATGCTAATATGTGCGAACTAAAGACTATTGAAGAGACGGGCAAGTTGCTACCTGGAGAGCTCCAAGAAGTCCTTAAGAAGCGTGACAGGGCGAAGGCCAGCCCTGAAGACAAGTGGTACGCAATGTGGAGCGGGTGTATTCCACCTCTGGCAACGACAAGATTTTGGACCGTCCCAGCATCCCCATACGTCCAGACGACCGTCGCCCGCGAGGCTGCTGAGACAATCATCCGGCGTGCCCTAGACAATCTGCATATCACAACGGAGCTCCATAGGTCTACGTTCGATGAGATTGTCAACGGACTATACCCTGCTCAGTCTGGCGCTGGGCCTAAAGTCAAGAAAATCGTCAAGGAGCAGCAGAAAAAGCGAACTTCAATTCTCGAAGCAGAAGTCGAAAAGTTTTATCGATCGGCCTTTAATTCCTCAGAGGTGACACCGCTAGGCTTACAGCCCGCCGCTCCCCTGCACCATCAACTACAGAAACAGACACTCGAGCAAGCAAACAATGGCATGGCGAGTCCATCAAGCCTCCTCTCAGGAGAATCACATCCGTTGCAGCAGTCTTACTCTGATATGCCTTCACATTACCCTCACCCGGAAACCCAAGCACCTTCCCAAATGACTGGTTCTGCATATGGGCAGTATATGGAATCGTATGACTATCATCCTTCAAACGAGTACACTGGCGGTTTCAGTGACGCTTACTAGTCACTTGTTCTTGGCTTCCTTTCTGTCTACTTGTCATCAATTTCTTCCGACCTTTTTTCTTCAACCTTCCACTTCACTTCTTTTCTCCGCCACTTCCTTCTTCTTTGTCGTTGCCTGTAGGAGGCGAGGGAAAGTTGCAGAGTACTTTTTTCTTCTTCTGAACATTGGCTTGATTGCACGGATTTGGTATTCGTTATTGGAAACTTGATACGCTTTTAGTATTAATCAAAATTTCCAATTACTATAGTCTTGGCTCGTGGTGATATAAAGAGGGTGATTCTATTACAAGAGTCAAACATTAATCTAAGCCATGTAGATGACACTCTTCGCTAATTTTGTTCCTCAAACACTTCTTACCAGGTCCTCTGGGAATAACCCTTATAAACCTCCTGCAACACATCGTTGCTCGTATTGTGATATTCTCTGGTCTCTCAAAGAGTCCAGGATGCATTTTGAGCCCTCTAAGCCCCAGAAATTGCGCAGCATGGAGGTGCTTTACCCAGTACCCTGCTCAAGGTATGGGAGGCGCGGTTCGCAAGACTCTGGAAACACGATGGACCAAATGAAAAGCCATTGTGATATTTCATCAGTGAAATGCGTCTCTGTCTCGAGTAGAATCGATTTCTGGCATTCGGATAATCCAAACAATGGACCCGGAGCACGCCGTCGGCATGTCTCATTCAAAACATGATTGTCGCGACAAATCTGTGTGTCGAATATTCCGTAACAGTTTAAACAGTAGCATGGACGAGAATGGGATTGGAACAAATGCTCAATCACATCCGAAATGTTTCGAAGGTCGCTCGTGAACAGACATTGATGACACTTCTCAGGATCATAAACATAGAAAGGGCAGGCAAGACGAAGGTTATCTCTGGAGCGGCGCTTAGGACGGGATATCACAACGAGATCATCGTCGCTGATATCATACTCATCATATATTTGTCCATGCTCCATCTGGTGTCCAGGCGATATTGTGAAGCGTTTTTGAGAGTGCACTTCATTCTCTGGTGGCGTGATGGACTCCATCTTCTCTTTCCAGTCCTTCAATATTGCAAGTACATGCTTCTTGGCCTTAAGTCGCTGGAGCTGGAAATCATCATTCTGAAGCAGTTTGAGTTCCGATGACGCGAAGTTTCCAATATCAACTTCATCTTCTGTATCATTGGTAGAACAGTCATGAAGCTCCATGTCTTTTCTGCGAGACAGAGATGCAGCATGCCTGCATACTGGTGCATTGGGTTGGTTATGAATACAGGGATCCCATTGAGTAATGCGCTTGGCCTTTTCTGTGCCGTTTCTTTGCGGGATTGGTTGCTTGAGTTCATGTTGGCAACACTCAGGTTCGGCCATTGCATCTCCCTTGTTTCGCCAAAACGGAGACTCAAGGGGCTGAAGGATGATGTGCAAGAGATCAAAACTGCACAGAAACATGTTGAGGCTTAAACGTAGCTCAGGCAGTATACCTTTCCATGTTTTCTGTGGTATTTAGTGAGTTTATATAATAGCAACTCAGTCCAATTCTCGTGAGGCAAATTAATCCGCAGCACATGTGTGTATTTGCATGATCCACCAATAAAAGTGAACTTCAGGCGGGGAGCAATGCAATCCGAAAATGGCAAGAATGCAGCCTATTCTGACAAGCCAATGAGCATTGGCTAATCTGGGTCATCCCGGGGCTGTCTACGCAACGGCGGAAGAGGTAATACAGGACCTTACGATAATCAATCAGATGCCCGAGGGAGGTTGAAAATAATGGTTCGCTCAGAAATTAGGCCCAGATTTTTGACATTTTATGACGCAGATGCCTTTTCATACAGGCAACAACAGTCTGATGTTATACTATGACAGTATGACCATAATAGGGAGTGAATCTACAGCACCTATATAGGGGTAAATAGCATCTAAAATTAAGGCTTAATACCTATAATTATAGTTAGATATTAAAGTTAGAAATTATACTATAAAATTAACTTAATTATTATTACTTAATTTAATTAATTTACCTATAATTATATAATTTAAAATAAATATTATTATATAATTTAATTAATTTTAAAGCTATTATTATTTTTATATATTTATTAAAACTGTATTTTATAATAGATTTAATTTTAAAGCTTAAATTTAAGTCTTTTAATACTATATATATTAAAATTAATTAATTTAATTAAGCTATTATATTATAATTCTAGCAGTTATATTATATAGACTTTATAAGAACTCTACCTTAAATATATTATAATAGCTAATTAAATAAAAGACTAATTAATTTAAGACTAATAGCATTTTAAGATTATATTATTTTAAGACTAATAATAACCTTATATTATATTACTTTTATATAATTACCTAAATATATATATATATATTTATTTTATATTAAATAGAACTTAACTTATTGACTATTAATAATATTTCTTTACTTTAATAAGCCTTACCTATACTATTAACTATTAAGAGATATAATACTTATTAATATATTTAGTTTAATGCTTTATATATTCTGTAAATATAAACTTAATATAAATTAGTTTCTCTATTTAAAACTTTAACTATTATATATTAAATAAAGATTTATTATATATATTAAAAAGCTATTTTTTTAGGATTTTTATATAGTTAATATATAATGTATAAAAGAAAGAAGCTATTATTAAGTTAATTTAATTATTTATTTAAGTAAATAGTAAAAAATATATATAAAAAAGACTAATTATCTTTTTTACTTTATTATAAGTTTTATTAATAAAAGCTAAGTAATATACTATTATAATAATAATAACTTTAAATTTTATAACTATAGAAAAAATAATTTATAGTTATTCTCTTTTTATTAAATTAAAATTATTAAAAAGAGAAAGTTTAATATAATTAAGTCTTAAAATAATAGCCTTAAACTTTTTAAAATATATTAATAATTACTTATTAACTTAAATCTAAATATTTAAAATATAACTTAATATAATATAAATAATATTATTTAAAGGGCTTAAGCTAAAAAGCTTATATACTATATCTTTATTAAGTGGCTATGTAATTAAATATAAAATAATAACTACTTTTAGTATTATAAAGTTAAAGATTAAAAGACTAACTGCTTATTATACTTAATAATTATACTATTTAATAATATAAATAGCCTTATTTTATATCTTAAAGTTATTTTATTTAATTATATATATAGAATAAACTATTTTAATGTACTATTATTTAATATTTATAATATAATATCTATAAAGAAAACCTTTTAAATAGCTATTATATTTATTAATAATAAAAAGAAAGCTTAATATATTTAGGCTATTAATACCTTTTATAAGCTATTTCTAGAATTTTATATATTTTTGTTATAAATTATTATTATAAATTATAAGCTAGCTCTTTTAAAAGCATTTATAATATATAAAGTCTTTAATATAATTTGTTATATTCTTTATTATTAATATATAAATATAAACATTTTTATAAAAATAAAGTAGTATTTTTTAAAAGCTATTTAAGACCTAAATACTTATATTATAATTTAAAATAGAAATTTTTAAAACTTCCTTAAGTATTAAAATAAACTTATAGAAAGTTAATTTTTAATAAATTATAAAAAAGAGCTTAAGGGTTTTTAATAACCTATAGATTACCTTAAGGTAGCTATTAATTATATAGTAAATATATAGTTATACCTTTAAAAGGAAAAGCTTATAAAGTATTATATAAATTATAATTATTATTATAATTACTTTATAACTTTAATTATAAGATCTATATATTTAATAATAAAGAAATATCTTTAAGCTAATATAGGTAATTTAATAATAACCTTTAAGAAGTTATATATATTTTAAAAAAGCTAATAAGTTATAGTATTTTTAATATAAAGTATTAATATAAATTTAAGCCTTATAACTACTATAAATTAATTATATAGTTTTAATAAATATAAAGTCTTAAATTTAATAATAATTATATTTATTAAAAAAAAAGTAAAAATTAATATTAATATTTTTAAGCCCTTAAATAGATTTTACTTTAATTTAAATATAGGAAATTATTACTTAATAAAGACTATATATAATTATTACGACTAAACAGGATATAGTACTTATATTATATATACCCCACTACTTTTCGCCAATTATAGACTAATTCACACCACATTAAAGAAGACTTACCATAAGCCGCTCTACTGGCTCACGATAGACTTATAACTCAGCCCACAGACTTACTATAAGCCTAACTTACTTAACTGTAAGCCTGCATAATATATATATATATTTATTTAGTATTAGATAAAACTTAGCTTATTAGCTATTAATAAGGCATCTTTACCTTAATAAGCCTTACCTATATTATTAACTATTAAGAGATATAATACTTTATTAATATATTTAGTTTAATGCCTTATATATCCTGTAAATATAAACCTAATATAGACTAGTTTTCCTATTTAAAACTATAACTATTATAATAATCTACTTTATAAATATATTATTTAAAGTTATCTTTATAAAGAAATCTTAATTTAATTAAATTAAGTTAATTTATATTAATATTAATAATATAAAACTTAAGATTATAATTTAAATACTTTTAATTTATTTAACTATTCTTTAAAGCCTTTATTTTTATAAAGAAAAGGCAGGCCTAAAAGAAGCCTTAACCTTAAAAAGAGTATAAATATTAAATCTATAAAAAAAGACCTTATACTTATAGACTTAATAGTTATAGTTAAATTTTATAATATAAATTTTAATATTAAGAAAATTTTAAATTTTAAAAAAAGTATTAATAAAAAAAGGTAAAAAATTACTTAATTAATTAAAGTTATAAAAAAATCTTTAGCTTTAACCTTATAAGTAATAATTTTTAATTAATAAATTAAAAAGATATTAATATTACCTTTTTTAATTATATTTACTGCTATTAATATATTTAAGGAATTAATAATAATACTATTATTAAAATAAGTAAAAGTAGGTAATTCTTATAACCCTAAAACTACTATATAGTAATTATATTAAAGGGTTTTTTTATAAATAGAAAATATAATAAATAATTTAATTAAAATTACTTTAATTAATTTAGGCTTTTTAATATTATAGTTAATATTATAACTTTTTATTTAAAGAAAAATAATAAATATTATAAATACTTAAATAATTAATATAAATATATTTAATTTCTTTTTTTTTAGTTAATATAATATTTCTATTAAGGTGCTATTTATATAGGTAATAAAAATATTTTTTTTTAATTTTAAAGTTAAGAATTAATTATAGTAATAAGAAATAACAAAATTATAATTAAAGATTTATATATTATTATTATTATAATATAAAATTATAATAATAAGCCTAAAACTTTAAAATTAAATTATAATAATAAGGATTAAATAAATAGATATTTATAAAGTAATATATTCTATTAGTTATATATAAATTATAGTATAAGTACTAAAACTGGTAATAAAGTAAGATTTAGCTATATTTTAAGTGCTATTTACCCCTATATAGGTGCTGTAGATTTACTCCCCTATAATAGGCATCGCACTTGTGAATGCCATGCCATAGCTTACAGCTATTGAAGGAAGCCCACTTTCACCTTCTTGTACTGGCACTACAGTTGGCGGTTAAGATGTCTCAGGCTACACAGGGTGTCAGGTTGAAATGGCCTCTTTGTGTCTTTCTTTATCTCTCAAGGGTTACCGTACATCGGTGGATCTCATCCCTGGACTAGAGCATTGACGCTTAGATAGGGCGCAAATTGAGGCCTTTCCGACGCATGCCTCGCTTTGACCCGAGGCCTGCCATGCATCGGGCATGGTTGCCAGGCTAGATGTCGCGCTTTGTCAAAATATTGCTTGTGACGACCATAGAATTCCAGTCGCTCTCTCAAGGCAGTTCTTGATCCTGTACCGTCGAGTGAATCGCATTTACTTAATCCACGGTTGTTTCATGATTATTTGGCTGTTCTTCTTGTCAATACGCATGAGTTAGATGTGTTATTTGTAGTTGAGACTTGTGACCGAGAGCTTAAATTAGCAGAGAGAACTTAGAACATAGCTATGTCTTGGAAGCCTGAATAAGTTCTGGTTCCTTATTTTCTTGGCTTGATTTCATTCAGATATACTGGTCTTTGAATGTCTACTAACTCTAAACGTACATCTTTATCCTCTCTACATATTCTCAGTCGTGCTTGCTTCATATGTGACCCGATACTCAAAAACTCTAACATTACTTAAAGAAACATGAACTGTCATTTGAGATTAAAAGCTTAGCGTAGTATGATGCTTGTTTGACGGCACATGACAGCTGTGAGATATCTCCCAACGCACTACTAGTACGAAGGAAGATACGAGAAAGGCCACAGATCTCAAGATGAACTCCTACAAAGTGATGCGAAATGCGTTATAAACAATTTTCAATTTCATAACAATTCAACACACGGACGGATGGATGGAGAACTGAGGTGAACAAGGGCTTTATCAACTATATAACGCCCGTTAAAAAAAAAAATACAAAGAATGCCTGGTTTAGTAACCATCATTCAAGCCTCGACGACTTTCCCCTGCCTGAACTTGCGAGATCACCTGGCCGAAGACAGACGAGTAAAATCGCTATCTGGTGCCATCGCCCAGTTTACCAGACCACGTAACGCCTCCTGGCAAGTCGTGTCATTTCTTACGCTCTTCCCATGGAGATGGCTTTCAAGTCCACCGAGGAAGCCAGAGACGAATTTCTGGCCATCGACAATCCAGAAATCCCTCACCATGGAAACCTTCAGTCCCTCGTCCCGATCAAGGTATGGAGACCGAGGCTGCTCTGTGCCTGGGAAGACCGTAGACCAAAGACGACGCCAACGACGCGCTTCTCCCACATCATACCGATCCCTCTTGATTAACCTCACTTTTTGGCTTTCTGTCAGCCCTATCGATGTCTCTTGATCCTTTCTCCTGCATGCATTCTCCAGGACGTGGTTGTCTCGATCAGTCAACGTTTCGAAAATCTTCCAGCATGTACGGCAATACAAAGGCTTATCATGATACCGTAAGAGATGCTTGATCACTGCCTCAATAGAGAACAGATCTTGTTGGACAAGACATTTCTGATGTTTGTCGGGTGCATGAATGTAAAATGGGCAAGCAAGATGAAAGAAGCCTTCTCTGCGTGCTGCGTGAGAAATTACAACAAATTCCTCCTCGCTATCATTCTCTTCGTCGGCTCTCGGAAGACCCGACTGCCATTGTGATGTTCTAAACCGTTTTCGTGGAGGCAACCTGTCCTTTGGTGGCGCAGTGTATTCTACCCCATCACTCCAACGGCTGAATCTCCCTCTCAAAAGTCGTTGTAGATCGGTTCCCTGCGCTAGAGACATCTGGCTGTGAGAAAGGCTATTCTCTCGAGATTGTTGTTGTTCGTTGGTGCTGATGACTTCATCGTCGTCATTGCTTGGGGGGCCCTCGCTTCTTGACGGGGTTGTGGCGTCGTTGAGTTCAGGCTTTTCACATTGATTGTCGGGAGGAGACAACGACCGGCCTGATCTTGTCCTTTTCAAGCCACTCTGGGTAGGCCGCTGGGTTGATTGACTAGTAAATTGCCTCAGTGGCAGCTTTCGAGACCTCTGCGGTATCATAATCAAATCTTAAAGCAGTTCCGCAAGAGATACAACGAAATCAAAAGGCAGTAGAGTTCTTTGCCATCAAGGACGTGAGGAGGCAGGAGCTGTAAAAATACCCAAGATGTAGGTGTTGTGGCTGAATGCAACGATAATCTTTAGGAAGATCGTCTGTAAAGTACTCACAGTCCTGTAGCCTGATTTAAATTTCAAAAAACTCGAGTTTTGTTGTCTGGGGCGTAGCCAATGAGCTTGCAGTCGAAGGGATGGTTACGCTAATCGTCACTCTCGCTTCGGGAAATGGTGTTATGAATGTGCCAATTAAAAGACACTCTTATCTTGGACTCTGCACATTCGTGGAATGGCTTTTCAGCCAAGGGCCAAACAGGTTCTTCCTCCACTTCATCTGAAATCCACACGTTGGAGTAGAAATGACTAGACTATTGTAGAGTCAGCAGATAAAGCACCTGTCGCAAATAGAATGCATGTGGTGAAACATGAGCATTGGCACACCACAAGCCTCCAATCTGAACTTGCCACGATTGTGGAGAGCTTGTCTGACGTTGAATTGCGTGGTTGGTGTGTACAACTGCCGACTCACTGATCCATTACAACGCAATGCATTTCCGGGCCTACCGCGAGTATTTATCTGAAACTAACATGCGTTATGTGGTTTGAAATAACATTTCGTGCACAGCCTGGCTTGAAATGGATGGCTGGGGTCTATTGTAGAGATATGCGATTTCCTGGTGACGACTGGGCCACGAATGCCTGTATTTCGTATTGCCATTGTGCCGTCTGCAGAGTAGCTAGGGCCCAAATCGCTGTACTGCATCTTCGATTCCCAGCTACTCTGGAGTCTGGACGGTACACCGAGGCGAAATCTCCGGTGGCAGGTCTGTTAGCTGGCTGAGAAATCATCAAATTATTTGGCATCAAGCGACGAAGCTCAAATGCTCAAAAAACATAACCAACCCTAGAATTCTTTGAAAGATAGGATATACGTCAGTCGATCAAAAGGCCATTGTTTTGTTGTTTCTTAAATCTGATCCAAATGACATGAATTTAAGCTGTAGAGCTTTTATGACCAAAAGATTCCATGTCAGTCCCAATTTCCTTCTTTGGCTATAAATGCCTTGCGAGTCCCATCATTGATCATTATTCAATGGAATTCACTGCTCATAAGCGTAAGTGTATATACAGAAGGAAGTCGTCTGGACTGCTTCGACAAGAATCACAAAGCAAGATACAGACCGTGATGGCAAGTGAACATATTAATAGTGGCCACATGAGCAGCATTCTCGCAGCAGGGTTTGACCTGATCTTCTGGGCGTGAAAACAGGCAGACAGGCCTCATGTTCACCTTGATTTGGGGGTAATATTTTCTGATTGAATGATCATCCTATAGAGAACATAACAAGTAGCTCTCATAATTCCACGTTCAGCCCAAGTATTAGAAATCCATAGAGTCCTGTGATATGCGAGCCCGACCACTGCGAAAGAAAGGACCTGTTTCGGCATGTCTAGAATAAGCTCTCGGCCCTTTTCTTAACTACCAATATGAAACGGATCAGCTGGACTGACTCTCCCAACATTCCCATGATACCGCTTACTTTGCTCACAGTAATCGAAGACATCACGCACAGAGTTTCTTACAGTCGCAAGGAGACTTATAAGAGTCAAACGATAGCTTAATTTGATCAATCATATTCGGAACACCGCTTATGTAAATATTGTTACGAATGTGACCCGGCTTAATTCTTTTGGGTGACCAGAAGGCTCTCGTCATACGTTTTCCCCGCTGAAGTAAGCCCCAGAGTGGCATTTAACAACATTGAACGTTGTATTGGTTGCTCAGCTTTCAGCTCTGGCAGCTATTGAATGGTGGCGGCGAAGCTGCATAGCTGAAGAAATGTGACTACACATCATCACATGCTTTTGGTAACCATTCAAGCAAGCTTAAATAGAGGCTCAATTCCAGAGAATCCCTTTATCTGTACCCAAACCAAGGCAGCCAATCTGCACTCCAGCACATCAACTTACCAACCAACCTACAACTACATATAATCAAGAAATAGCCATGGGTATCGATCGCACAGACCTTTACGGAGACAAGCTTGCGGAACTTGTGGTTCAGGACGTTTCAAACCCAATCCCAGCAGAAAATGCAATCCATGCTCGACTAACTGGCATTGATGGAACTGCTACTGCCATCCTGGCCAGCAAGATCAAGACGGCCACCGACGACTTTGGTGGCTTCGCCCTAGTTGTCCAGGATGATACAAAGTATGATGACTTCTACTGGCTCCAATTCATCACTCGACAGCTTGTCGTTGACAATGTTGCCAAAACCGGTAACCTCGTCAATAAAGCAACTACTCCAGCATATCAGCTGGTAATTGCTACTGGAGAGGTCACAGACTTCTCCACTGGTGCTGGAGCGTCAAACTGGAACACCTGCTGGGGAGTCGACTCTGGCCTCACCAAGGGCTTCTTCGCAGACACGTATGAATTCGCCAAGTCGGATGCCCACAAGATAACAGCCATCCTGGACCCTCCAAGCGTTCTGATGGGAAAAGTTCCAACTGACAAAGAGAAGGCCTTTTACAAAGATGCTCCACATGGTCTGGTCAATATGGAGACTGAGCTTGGAGATGGCCAGGGAATCTCCCGTGCCTACTTCTCTGACTATCTCTTGAAGAAGGCCAATGGGGATAATTATCGTGTCTATGCCCGCTTTGACCTGACGTTGACTTGGAACGCAAGGGAAGTGGGCAAGAAAAACTTCACACTCAACACTTTGGCTTCCACTGGGACCAACACGATACTCGCTTGCCATATGGCTGCTCTACGGCACACCACGACTCCAGGCAACGAGGAGTCTTTCCGAGAGTTTCGCAGCAAGATTATTTAATGAACCATGACTGGTTTTACGGCCGTACGTAGCAGGCACCTCCCATTTTCACAGAGCAGGGAGAGTGGTATTTTAGACGGTAGCGCAGATAGCGAACACGGTTATACTACTAAATGCTAGGTTCTGTGTGATTTCTCCCACTCATCCTTGACCTTCTGCACGAACAGTCCATACGCACTATCGCTATTCGGAATGAACTTGTTCCTATGCCCGTCCTTATCCTTCCAATAGAACGCCTCATCATGAACCCTATCGTCATCGTCGAACTGATAGCACTGAAGAGTGATACAGACAGTGCTCGATGTATTCTCCAGTTGGTGGACCTGATACTGGTCCTTGCCCAACCAAGTAACCTTGCCTTCTTCAAGATTCACCGGGTTACCAATCAGTTGTGACGGGCTTCCTTCCTCGACCTTGTCAAACCAGGATACTTGAATCTTTCCGTAAAGGACTCTGATGACTGCTGAGGCGTCGCCGTGTTGATGAATGGGTGATTTGTGACCTGGGGGCCAGATCTCCATCACATAGGGAATACCGGGAGAGTCGGCCTGCTGGTGTTAGCTGTAGTCGAGATAAATAACGGAGAACATACCAGATTATCACCAACCGTGATGCGAAGATAGGTCTCGGTTGGATCTTTAAAGGTGTCCTTATTCTTGAGGATAGCACCACAGTACTTATTCTCATCCCTGCAGCTCTCATCAATAGCTTCAGGGAGCTTCGGGAACGAATCTGGTCTCGCTGTAATCTTAGGTCCAGAAATATTATGGTACAGCTTCTGACAGGCCTTGGGCAGGTTGGCAAACGTCATGGCTGTCATGTTCTCCAGTATCTCGAGCGTCATCTCCGACTCGGGGATAACCACGGGTGGGAGATCAACAGTAACGGGCTGCGGCTTGTACTTGATGTCTTTGCTGGAGATAGGAGATTCATCCTGCTCAACTTCGGTGGAAACGAGGTTATCCATCCAGGCAGCATTCTTCTTCTCGAACTGGATCTCCATAAAGGTCATGGAATTGTTAATCAGAGATTGGCCATATCGGATGCGAGCGTTGCTTCTGTCAACAGAGATCCAATAGGTAGCTTGCTTCGTCAACGTGTCGAGCAAAGCTGAGGCTTTTCCTTTCGGAAACATGACAAGGTCGTAAGACTTGCTCCTGTCCTCGCCAGGCTTAAATGTGAGCTTCTCTTTGTACGCGACAAACTTGTCAGCATCTTTGTCCTTCTTTGAAAGAACGCAGTCAGCCTTGGTGATTTCAAGCTTCAGAGTCGGTTGTTCCTTTCGCTTTTCGGGGCGAATAATAAATGTAACACTTTCTTTGGGGGAATCAGCTTTGGCAGCAATGGTGCCAAGACCTCCCACGGCAAAGTCAATCCCAACAGGGATAGTCCTCCAGGAAGACGAGATTGAGGATAAAAGATTGGCGGGTTTGAAGGGGCTGATTTGGGGTTGAGCGTCAAGTTCAACAGGGATCTTCTCCTGGGGTTCCCAAAAGGGATCAGTGAAGTGGGACGGATCGGCCATGGCAAAGAAGTGATGATGAATCTCAAGACTGACTTGATGAGGAGATTCAATGTTTTTCAGTAAGAGAACTTCTCTGTATAAATAATTGTTCCTCGAATCCCGCTTTGACCTCAACAACTTGATCTATCAGTTGATAGACGGCCAAACCACCTATCGCATCTGTTGAATTCGTCATCCAAGACAATCCACTCAGTTGCAGGAGACTAGTGGCCTTCAGCTAGCCACAAGGACTCTTTTTGGGAAAAGATCACAGAAACAGTCGGTCTGGAGCGCACAAGTTTCCTTTTCGAGATAATTCAGGTCTCGCAAGATGATCGAGTGCGGGGGCGCAGAGACATTTGCCGCTTTGGCATCGGGACGAGATACTGTGACCAGATGCTCAACACCGTGCCAAAACTATCTAAAGTCTATTGGGATATTCTAAATTTGCTGCAGTTGAGCGTCTCGTTCACTTATCTTTGATAGCGGGATTTATAAATCTGAGTGACACTGCCGCATTACCTAGTACCTACCTGTTAAACCCATGAACTGTTTGACAAGACTACATCCTCTATGGAACCAGATCTGCAGTCAAAGACTGTTGGGGGGTTGATTCAACTCTCGCATTGGGCCTAAGCGGCTCATAACTGCATACATGTCTCAGGATAGCAGGCCTCATTCCAGGTAGCCTCAGCTCACATGATCACAAGAAGGTCAATGTCAGTTTCGTTTATTTGACTAGTTAGTGATGATCCTAACTGCACGGTAGCAACCTCTGTTTACTTTTGAGGAGCTCTTGCCAAGATAGTGCCATACTTGGAGTACGTGTTGTTGGATGAAGCAACGAAATCCTCAACTCTGAGCCCCGCCTTGGGCTGGAACACACAAATGACATCCGATCCTCCAAACTGGAAGTACGAAATCTCCTGCCCCTTCTGCAGTCTATCACCCTTCTGAACTGTTATCTTAACGGATGACACCTGTGCCATACCAATAGGAAGAACAGCAACCTTGCCCAGAATGGGGTTGTCGATGATGATCATGCCGCGGGTCTGCAAGAACTGATAACCAGGCGTATCAGGAGCGTCTGGACCGCACATGACACGCATGGGCTCACACTTGGAGTTGACTTCCATATACGCTGCACCTTGAATGTTCTTCGCTTCAAGGACCTCACCAGCAACAGGAGCATGCTGACGGTGATAGTTGAAGGTGTTGAGGAAGGCGTGCATCCAGACACCACCATGGAACTCATCCGCGTATTCACTTCCCTGAAGAAGAGACGAGATGGTCCAGGGGAGATTCTTGATCATGATCACCCCGTCAGACTCAATGTTGACAATGTTCTGATTGGCAACCGAATTGTCATACGTGCAGTCAGCAGGATACACAATGACACGGTCGTTCTCTGGCTCCGTGATAGGTCGCATGCCAGGCTTGAGATGGCGAGAGAAGAACTGGTTAAAGGTACGGAAACCGCCCTCTGGGACTAGAGCTTCGTTGTAGTTGTACTTGGGAGAGTTCTTTTGACTGAAACTCTCCAGAGACTCTTTCGTGAGCGAGGCAGGCGAGTCCATGAACAGTCCAATCAGCTGCGCATATACAACTATCCATGAGGAGAGCCAAGTGAGCGGCTGACCGACCTGATCAGGCGAGATGGAGGTCTGCAAGTTTGCCAAAGGAGGTTGATCAATGATGAAGTAGAGCATGCAGAGAATATCGTAGATATCCTTGCCTTCGTAGTTCTCATGAGGCACCCATTTGAGGAGATCGTTGGCAAAGTCTAGGAAGGATCGAGCATCGCTGATGTGCAGCTTGTCCATGAACTGAGGAATCTGCTGGTATGCAGAGTGGACAGCCTCATCAAGAGCACCGGGCTTGACGGTCTCAAGGTAGCCCGTGAGGACGATGATGACGGGATTGTAGATGACTGGTTTCTCGCCAATTTCAGGCAAGGGGATGATGCCGACAAGACCTTTGCGGATCTTGTCGAGGGGGCTTTTGGAGGGAGGAGGCGGCTGGAAGCCGATCTCAGTATCTGGGGCAGTGGGAAGACCAGAAGGCATGATGATAGTTTCAAGTAAGATGTTTGAAGTGAAGTGGTGGATGAATATGAGTCTAGCTATCTGTCGACATGAGCGCTATCACATTTATACACATCGGCTTGCTCTCATCCTCTACTCAGCTCCGCCGACCGACATACCTGTTCACTCATTCCGCTTTCCTTTCATCTAGGACTTCAATCGGTCCTTTGCCCCTCTCTTGGCAACATCAGAGGCAATCGCTTGCGCAACACAATGATGTGCTGTCAAATTATTCGTCAATTCCCCTTCGGCAAGTCTATCATGTCTCACAACCCCGCGTTCGTGCATCGAAACCCCTCCTCAGTTAACGGGAGCTGAATATCTTCTGCATCTACTGACACCGATGTGATTGGTCGGTAGTTGTTTTCTCAATAAGATCAAAACCTGCAGCTAGTCCAGGAGCCTCTGAGGGGAGGATCAAGACCGGAGTTGACTTGAGTTGCAGCATGTACTTCCGCCTCATTTATGCCGCTCTTCATGTGAAGTCCGTCTAGAAACAATACCATTGGGCTACTCCCCTTATCTCTTCTCTCTTGTCGCACTCACCGAGTCTTGGTTACGACTGAGCTGCCTCTTCTGGAGCAACAGACATGCTGTGAATGCAATGTATGTCGCACATTCGAGCGGGCTCCAATAGGTAAAGAATTGCAGCGACTCGATGCTGTCGGGAGCTTTTTTTTAGGACATTAGCGGTCAGATGGATCGGGCCGCATCCATGTCTCACGGGTCTTTTTCGCTTTAGCCAGGAACTTGACCTTGAGCAGCAAGGACGCCTGTTACTTTAGAAGAGGAGGCTGGAATAGGCTCAGTAGAGAACCCCTCAAGCTTTCGGTAAATTTACCGAAACACTTTCGTAGTTTTATGGTCAAGGTCCTTTGAGTTAATGTCTGCCTGTTCTTGATTCGTAGAAGATACGTTTACATGCAAGATAAAAATGTGCTTTTCACGAAGCAACATGATAATTGACTGGGGGGTCAGGTACTGAGGGCCATGTTCTTGTCTCCTCTATGTTTCAGTAAGCCTTCACCGCCATTGACAATGCCAATTAACTAACGCATTCTTGAGATGAGTTCCTAAACGCGGCTTCCAATCAGTAAAATGTTTAAAACTAAAGAATGAGAATGTCGTAGAGCTCAAGTATACGTGAAACTAAGTATAGCTCCGCTCCCATCTCAGCTCTGGGCCGTTCAGCTCCGTCGTCAAAGCAATCTTTCCAATCTCTCGCTCTGGATACACATCACAAACCCGAACCTTGACATTTTTGATAATTTCAAGTCTGTCAGAACCACTTTTTCCACTTCCTTCTTGAGAGACATCTACGAATTGAGAATCTCTTATCAGCCCGGCAACACTATCCAGGAAATCGGGGGCTCTGATACGCTGACGAACAACGATATTGGCAACGGCGCAGA